AATCCAAAAGAACATTGGCTCATAAAGTTCATGACCTGGGAGATCACTTAATGACCACAGCCAGGAGTGCCCGGATTGCGGTTGTTGAGCGAAACAGTCACATGGGTGTCTCCCTTAACAACTGCTTCACTCAACAACTGAGCTTCTGTTCCCAATTGTCCTTGTTAGGCGAGGACTACCTGTATACCAAAGACTCCTGAGCAAACCTAGAAATTGTGGGACATGGAACTGTCCTCCTATAGGCTGTTGATTAATAAGCAGGAAGTATAGAGAGAGATGGACCATAAAAAAGGCCGAGCGCCGAAGAATTGATGCCTTTGAACTGTGGTGCTGGAGAAGACTCTTGAGAGTCCCCTGGACTGCTAGGAGGTCAAACCAGTCAATCTTAAAGGAAATCAACCCTGATTGCTCATTGGAAGGATCGATAATGAAGCTCAAGCTCAGATATTTTGGTCACCTAATGCGAAGAGAGATCTCTTTGGAGAAGACCCTGATGCTGGGAAAGATTGAAGGCAAAAGGAGAAGAGGACGGCAGAGGATGAGATGGTTAGATAGCATCACTGAAGCAATGAGCATGAAACTGAGCAAACTCAGGGAGGCAGTGAAGGACAGGAAGGCCTGGCGCAATATGGTTCATGGGGTCACGAAGAGTCGGACACGACTTAACGACTAAACAACAACAATAGAGTATTAAGCTTAGAGTATTAAATAAGACAAGTGTGAAGCTACTAAACCCATGATTGTAAACAATTTCGACAAAGAAAAAAATGGAAGACAACAGAATCTGGCTGCCCAAAAAGCTTAGTGAAGTTTAAGGTTGGATATAGGAGGGGCATGGGAAAATTAATTTAATATTATTTTATTTATAGACTGCCCAGCTCTTATCATTGACTCTGGGCAACCTTTAGCCTGAGCATGCTCAGGCTATTTTATTTAAACTAGGATCTCCAGTGTAGAAGCTACTTTGCAAACAAATACACTGTTGCCTGCATCCTACCAACTAGGAAGGAATGTGCAATATGACATGTGCTCAGATAATGTACACTCACAGTCCCCATAGCACATAATTTTTAAAAAGCAGTATATGCTTAACTCTTTTTCCTTCAGCTAGTTCCAGCTAATGTCTGCTATGTTATTGGCTAATGCACTCTCCATGATTTGGAGGTGTTTTATAAAACAAACTAATCAAAAAGCATCAGAAAACCAGAAACGATGTTGACCTCAAAACTCTGTTCTGTCTTGACTTTGCAACTTCCTTTTTTTGCAAACTCTGAGACACTGGAAGGCAATCAGCTCAATAGTTTTGGAGCCATTTGCAAGATGTTTTTTGTTTTTTTATTTCATTACCTCATTGCTTACCTCCAATTTGTAATCACTTACAAACAATTTAAAACATGCCAGTCCCAAATGAGATCCTTGGGAAGAATATCTTGCCTTGCCAATAGAGATGCATGACATTTATTACTTTTCACTGCTTCCTGTTCATTAATCAAATCCTTCATGGGGCTGGGGGAAAGGAGCTCAGATCTTCAGGATTTGAACTCTGTTCCTGCACACTGCCAAGAGGTTCCCCTCCATTCCCTCTGCTTGCAACTTTCCCTGCATTGACTTTCTGGGGAAGCCAGCAGAGAAGATTGTAAATGGTGATCACATGGACGCAGGGCACTTGGCAGTGCTCATAAATGTGAGCCGGTTGCCAAGTGTCTGAAATGCAGCCATGTGACTGTGAGGAGAGGCAGCAAGGCATTTTACAATGGCCAGAAGCACCCTTTCCGAGGCTGTTGTAACTTTAAATCATTGTTAAATGGTCATTAAGCGAGGACTACCTGTATAATGTCATAATTAAGACAAATTCCATAATTTGCTTCTTAAAATAGATTTCATAGGTGCTATGAGTGTGACCTAAAACCTTTCTGTAGTTGGAATAAAGTTGCAGATTGCAGCTATAGATATTGCTTAGAGTTGACTCTAGCAGTTTGATGAAGGTGGCTGCAACTGGTCAATCTGACTGACTTGCATTTGTCTCTGCCTTAGGTGCTGTGTCTTGTATGTGGATGAATGACCAGTGCAGCAACGTAATTACTGGAGGAGAAGATAGACAAATCACGTTCTGGAAACAGCAATACTAAGTGCTTTTTCTCTCAGACATCTGGATCCTTAATATTTTAAACCAAACTTTTAAAAGGACCTTATCTAAATGTAGAAAAATGCTTTCTATGGTTCAGAGAGCGCTTTTGGTTGCCCCCTAATTCTTGTGTATTGACGAAGACTCTAAAATGTTACAAATGTCTGTATGCACTTGTCTATTTACTGAAGTAGTAATAGCTTGAAATGCTTGTCTCATACTCTTGCTGAAAATAAACTTATTTTTCTGTAACCAAAATGTTCTAATTTAAAATCATACTACTCTCCTTCTCTCTCTCTATATTAGGGGTATTGTGCATGTTTGTCATCAAGTCAGTCTTGATGCCTGGTGGCTGCCTAGACAAATCCTTTCAGCAATATTGTAATCGGTAAATTATGTCTTTATTGGAAATTACTGGGCTGGTTTGCCATTGCCTTCTTCCAAGGCCTGAGAGAGAGAATGACTTAAAATCCAGCTGACTTTGTGCCTAAGAATCCAGTCTCCTATTTATTGTCCAAAAAATGTAATATAAAATCTTGTGTACGCTTAAATCAATCTGCCAATAAATCCAATATGGTCATTGGCAAAGATATTTTCAATATCAAACCAGCCCAGTAATTTCTAATAAAGAAATAATTTACTGATTATACTTACAAGGCTGATTACCTGATCATTGACTGGATCAGACTTTGTTCCCTTCCTATGAATGGGACAATAATAGGTACACTCTTCAGGAATACAGGACTATCAGAATTGGGGCCTTATCAATTGGCATTCCTTTTAATCAATTTGAGGGTATATAATCTCTTTCACTTAATCTGCCCAGAACGTTTTCCTTATTTCAGTTGAAGTACGAGTTTGCTACCTTCTGAAAAGGTGACTTGCATCCATTCAAGCTGCACCACAGGATTTTATTCAGCTGTATATATCTGGCAAAAATGCTTTTCCCAACCTTCAGTCTCAATATGATAATCTGTTTTTACTGTTTTACCCTTTAGACTACTCGCTGTCAACCAATTATCTACATATTGTAATGATCTGGCGAACAGCTCAAACATCTCTGCCAGATTTAAAGCCACTGGGGAGAAGTGAAGTTTAACATTCTCATCCACTTGCACTAAGTCTGAGTGTGCCTTATGCTTCCGTCTTTTCACTGACCTTCGGTATTTCAGTGTTTGGACTGAGGAGTATTTGATTTAATGATAAATATTTAAGAATGTTAAATGAAAACGGTCACTATTACTCTACCCTTAGTGAAGTTGGTCTGGCAGCTTAATCTCTCAGAAATATATCAACTGTAATGGTTTACTGGCCAGACCAAAATGAATCCTTTTTCATCCTCCTCTACAAACCAATGTAAAATGTCTAACAGTCACATTTCTTTAAATTGTCAAAATAATCCTACCATCAAATGGAGAGAGGGGATACTAAGTACAGTGGTACCTCGGTTCACGAACGCTTCTGTTCATGAACAATTCGGTTCACGAACAGCTCCGTTCGCAAAATTTTGCCTCGGTTCACGAATGCCGGATCGGGTGACGAACAGGATCCGTGGCCATTTTCCCTCCCGTGACACGTGGTCGCGGCTTCCTGTAGGGAGGGGGACTCTCCCTCCAACCAGTAACCGCCTCCCCACCCACCTTCCTGTCCTCCATGCCAGAAGTCGCGTCAAGGTTAGCTTTCTCTTCGTACT